GAATCTTTACTTCAAAACATTCTTCACTAGGGCTACAATGAACTGCATCTCACACCATCTCATCTACACTCACAAGTTTCAGTGTGTATGTGTGTCAGAAACTCACTGACGGTCCTTCAGAAGCAGTGTTCCCTCTTAAAAAGCCAGCCAACCAGTCCTCAAAGCACTTTCAAGTCACATGGCACATGCCCGTGGGTTGGGCTCGGGTGGGACCGAAGGGTCGGTCGCGGTGGGCGCCGGTCGTTCTCATGAGCTTTGGAGCTGGGCGCTACCTCGGTCGCTGCCGTGACGAGGGCGCGGCCGCCGCGGTTGAGAGACATGTCCGACTGCAGGGCGGCCGCAGGTGGGAGAAACCGCAGAGGTCCAGTGTTTTGAAGGCTTTTGTTATGCTGGGACGGTCATGTTCCAAAGGCGTCTGGTTCTTAAGTGCATTCAGGTTTTATAATATAATCATTACATGCAACATCTTGCAACCCTTCGCGGATCCTGTGCTTTCGTTAAAAACATACTAGCTTGCCCAGAAACCTCCCCTGTCATACCATTGTGCAATGCTCCTTGTTGATCAGACTCTGTTTAATCGGGTGAATGCATATATTCGCAAGAAAGGACACGGGGCATCAAAAATGAAAGAACCCAATAAACCCAACAAAAACAGCAGGTGCAAAAGGCCAGCGCTCAGAGTTCCTTTCTGTCTTTCTCTCGCTTTTGATTCCCTTAGTGTCTCTCCTACATCCTACATCGTAGCCTCCTTGTTTGTTGAACTTGGGACCCCGACCAACTTGCTCCAATAAGGATGCGTGATGCCTTAGGTAGTTGGAAGAAGACCTGAAGGGCTCTCCCCCAGAGTTGATGGAAGACCATGGAAGACCAGGTCAGGCTTCCCCGGTCAGCTGAAAACTCAGATCGGACAAGTGGAACCCAACAAGATTCACAGAAAAAAAACTGTCAAACTGTCCAGCTGTGCAAATTGCATCCTGTGTCTATGTAAAACATTGTACACATGTTAATATATACATGTTATATATGTGTGCACATAAAGCAAAGAATAGCGGCTAGAGATAGAGGAATCAAGAGGCTGCAATGTTGGATGTCTCATCTAACAAACCTCTAGAGAAAGGGTTTCCTTTAAACTTTGCAAAACCAGCAAGCAGGAAATTGCAGTGTGTCCCCCCATCCTGGGACTAACTCAGAGGAGAGGCCATACTGTGAGCAAGGCCAAGCTAGACCCGTCTTGCTCTTTGATTGGATCCAACTTGAAGATCACGACGCGGCTGCCAAGGAGCAAAAAAAGTAGTAGAGTGCCAGCCACAACTGCACGGAGCAATGTCTTGGATTGAAGACATGTCGGCGGAAACACTGAAGCAACCATTCTTTCAGGCCAAACATAGGTGATGCTGAAGTCTGCCAAGGTGGACCAATCCTATAACCACTGTGCCAAAGAGAAGTACAGCGTGTACGGCAACAGAAACTCAAAAAAAACAGTGACATATTGTTTCAGCTCGAGAGGAACGCTGGTTTTTCTTGGATGGAATTAGGGTCGATTCTATCAGATCTCACGATTTCACCACAAACATCCTCCAACATATTCCAACATCCATATGAGAGGTGCATTTGGTGCGAACTCTCCATTTTCAGCACAGTCCGGAAGAACTCCTGGGCCGCCCGGGCTGCGGTCCATCCCGCGGCGCTGAGGAAGAACTCCTGGTAGCCATCGACGGAGCTCAAGAACCTGCCGGAAGGAAAGCACACGGCTTCATGAGCATCTTCGAGCTACGGGCTGGGTCAAGTTGCTAGGGAAGTACTCGTAGGAACTGCACTATGGTGCACTGAGGGATGTGGCTCTACTTTGCAGCCAATCCGGAAGAGAAGCTCCTTCTGACCTGCCATCTGTCCACTGCCCTCGGCACACACAAAGGCGGGACGGACGCACGCATGCTCCCCTCCCTGCCTAGGAATGGCGGGCATGCCTGTGGCACGAGGACGGATTGAGGAGGCACTACCTTCTTAGTAGTGAGGCTCCGCCTAAAAGTTGCGTCGACTCCATCAAACCTGCGACAATCGGCTTTCGTCGCTTCCGAGTCGCTTCCTAAGCTTCCGCGCGCGATGGGACGCTGATCCCAGTGCTGTTGACCAAGCTCACGTTAGACCTCCGTCGCAGCGAGGTTGGTCGTGCCCGGCCGGCCAGGTGGCCCCTTTTGGGCCACTTCTAGGGTTGACTGGAGGTGACCGAAAAGGAAAGGGATCCAAAAGCTCAGGGGAAGCCCGAGAAAAAGCATGTTCTCACAAAAACATCAGTGTGATGTTTGGCGAATGCCCCATGAAGATTTGGCAAGGATCCGGCCAAACTTTTGACGGCGATGTAGCATGGCTGTCCCCTGTTTCAAAGCACTCGACCAACTACGTACTGGTTTTGGAGATCATGCCTAAGCTCCGGAATCCCTTGGCAACCTTTCCCCCAAAAGTCCAAACCAACGATTGTGCAGTGAGTCATCCCAAACTTGGTGTCAGCGGTGTCAGCCACCCCAGCCATGTCAGTGTTCCTTCTGCGCAGATTGTATACCCTAAACCCCAGAAACTTCTTCAAGAATGTCACCCGAGCGCAGCGATTCGACATGTCTCAACCAGTAGCTGGCCCACGCTGTTGGGTGGGGAAAACCCATCACATTCAATCACCCAATGACCGCCAACACTGGTGTCAACCCCTCCCATGTTGACGAACTCCATATCATCTCGAAGACTCTGCGGCCTCTGCAGCTGCACCAGGAACATCCAACGGCCGTGAAATCACGGCTGCGCCTGCGTGTTTCCGTCTCGCAGGAGAGCCTATTCAGGCTCTAGAGACCGGACCGGGGTGTTCGATCGAGTCATCAGGTATGGCCATAGATGGCCCATCGAGTTTTCGTGAGGAAACCTGACCTTCTTGACTGGGGATCCCTGGACCTCGGATCGCGTGACCCGGTCTCACTGGGCTCGGGCCGAAGCGCCCCAGAAACGCCCCACCCCGGCCGCCTCCGTCAGCCCATGCGGCGCGGGGTTTTGCGCCAGGGTCGCTTTGAGGGTTGGGGTGTTCGGTCTCGGGTGACTGGAGCCACAAGGAAGACGGGAGGAAGACACCGCTGAAGCAAGCGTTACGGTAAAACACATGTAAGAAACACCTCCAGGTGCTTCAAGCAACTTTAAGAAACAACTCCAAGTATCTGGCAACACTTGCCATGCGGTGTTTACTGGTCTTCTGTGGTGTTGCACCATTTCGAAGGAACCATGACATGAGGTACCATCAGGTCCGCTCCGAAAGAACTCATCGTATCGTTGGAAGGAAAAGGGGACCGTTCATGTAGAAAAAACATATCTCTCCGTGTCCGATCCGGCGAACTGTTTGTGAACATGGGCACAGTGATTCAATCGGACAAGTCGTATCACAAAATTGGCGCGTCTGTCTACAACATGGCCGATGAGTTTCAGCATTCGGAAACTTATGTATCATCCTTTCTCTTGGTAAGGGACAAAAAACAAAACACGACATGTTGCGCCTCCCTTGTTTTTTTTCTCAGTGTGTCCTTCGAAACATGTCCCTGGAAGTTCCTTTCCTTCAGTGTTGTGCCTTTTCCTGTTGTGTTCCTTCTTGTTTTTTCCGGTGCCTCTTCTAAAATCGTGGGATCATGTTCCGCAATCCCTTACAAACAGAGAAGAGGGCATCGAAATCAAGGACCGCCACATCAACTTCATGCGCCATCAACGTCGTCAATGAGTCTCTGATCGTGTGGCTAATTGTTTCCACAAAAGTTTGCCCAAGTCCCCAGGTTCTAAACGGTTTCAAGACCTTCAAGTGATCTCCTCCTTCGTGTCAGTGTTTTCCCGCGGACGGCCCTCCAAGCAAGGTTGCCCAAGGCGCGCGTCGCTGACAATTGTTCTGGCAAATCCAAGTGCATAGGCATTAAAACATTTCCTGGTAATGAGTGTGAGCTTTAGTGGTTTCAGCTTGCCCCAGCTTTGGAAATCCGTTGACGGAAATCGAGGTAGCCACCCCAAGTTGGGACTCGAGTTGCTTTGTGTCGAGGGAAAGGTACGCATGCTGCGCTACCCGATAGAGGGGCGCCCTTTAATAGCGAAAAAAAACCTAATTACGAAGTTGGGTTCTTTAACTGCGAAACTCGTTCGATTGCGAAACTTGTCCGTGGATGACGGTAACTGTGCCTTTCAACATTTTCAACATCGAAGACACCCTGGACAAAAATCATAGATCACCTCCCGCCTTGCATCAAGATGGATCACTTGGATCATGTAAGATAGATCATCTGGATCATAGATTGAGACTTATGTGGTCATCGAGAAGCCGCTCGCGATTCACATTCAGATTCCTCACGCTATCCCCTCGCAATCAAAGCCTCTGACTCAGTTGTGAGCCATTGGAGTACAACTTTCATTGACACAGGCACCCTCATTAAAAGCTGCAAACAGGATCTCCATTCAAAGACCCCTTGGACCAATCTTTTGCCATTTGGAAACGACTTTCAAGGACTGGCAGCCTCACTCAAAGCTGCAAACAGGATCTCCATTCAAAGACCCCTTGGACCAATCTTTTGCCATTGGGAACCCACTTTAAACAGGTCTTTGCCACTGGCAGCCTCATCAAAAGACTGCAAACAGGATCTGCATTCAAAGACCCCTTGGACCAATCTTTTGCCATTGGAAAGCTGGCGGCTTCCTTGATTGCAAACATCATTAGATGATCTATCTTGGTGCAATGCGGGCTCTTGGTGCAGAGCAGGAAATGTCTTTCTCGCACTTGGCGGGTTATTTCGCAATTACAAGACTCATTTTCGCACTTAAGACTTTGATTTCGTCATTAAAAAATATGGCTTTCATTATTGAGAGCATACAACTCAAAACTGTAGTGTTGGCCGAGAAGAGCACTAGTAAAAATAGACAGAATAGACTTTAATATACTTTCATCAATAGACCCGCTAAACAGCTTCTTTTGATCGCTCACACCCATCCCTTCAGCCATTCAGCGTCCGAGCAGCTCCGGACCCGCTAAACAGGGGCCTCACACAAGGTCCTGTGACACGCATCGACCAAGGGCCACGGCTAAGGAGCTACGTGTTCAAATCGGGACTTGGCTCACCGGAGGGGGATTGGCAGCCTTTACATAAATAGATGTATGGAATCCAACAGTTGGTACAGTAGATGTTGGTAGCCATACCCACTCATTATGAAGCTCCAAGATATATATATATATATACCCAATCGCCTCTTCACAGCATTCTTAGGAATTCGGACGCAGACTCAAGACTCAAGTCGGTTACTGTATATAAATGGCTGGAGGGCCGACCCAACCACTAAGTCGTCAACAGGTATGAGATCCAACCAGGTGTTTCATGTCTTCTTCTCAGGTGGTCGTGTCTTTTCTCAGCCTGACAACGCCTCACCAGTGTATCTGAAAACACATCTCATCCACGTCACTGTCTCCTGGGACACATGCTCTGGCCGGGCAGGGCCTGCAGGCAGAGTCGCAAAGTCGGAAGAGACATGAAAAACTGACTCAGCTGCGTTCGCTTCTTGCCTCCGAGCTCGACGTCTTTGGACCCTCCCACCTTCCCACCCCAAGTTAGCCAATCGAGAAGCCACCTCCAGAGTCGACCCAACATGGGGTTGGGTCAAAACATGTCAAAACCTGGAGCCCTGGTCCACCATGTAGCTTGACCTTCCAGGAAGTAGCCTGCTTTTGACACACAGCCGCATCTTACAACGAACACACCGGCTCGGGACCCGGTCTTCACCGGATCGCCCGGAACCGCGAGACGCCGAGACGCTTTCCGCCGGCGCCGGAGCTTCTATTGAAACGATGGTCTGAAAGCATGCCCGGATGGTCTCCAAGTACCATCTCAGAAGAAGTTTTGAGTGGGTTTAGAGGGTCGAAATACCTTCTGAGGAGGTACTTGGAGGTGTAGGGATGGACATTTCTATGTTAAAAGTTCACTGTTCACCAATGGCTCATCTCGGAACCTGTGTTGAAACGCTGCGAACCAAGCAGCACCTGTGTTCAAACGTTCCGGCACTGGCCTGTGAACTTCCTACGTTGAGATGCCAAGGTCTCCCAGAGTTCTACACTCCAACTCACATTCCAAGTGGAAGACAACCACTAGATCCACTAGATCCACTAGTTCACAGATCACCAGTGGTTCCAATGACCTATCAAAGCCGCTGACCCATCAAAGTGGACTTCCTGACATCCACTGCAACTTCTTAGGTGGCTCATGATTCACTTCCATGGCAGGCCATCGGACAATGGTCTTCCAATTCTGGTGCATATGCCATATGCACTTTCATTCTTGGAAGTGACATCGAGTTCTTCATTGTCCATGGTCCCGAACCACTTCCCGAACCCACCCTCCACCTGCCTCGGACCACCGGGCCAAGGAGCCGGTCTCGGCATCCCCTTGGGAACCGTACGGGTTGGTCCCGGACCGCCCCGAGGCTGGCTTCGAGGCTCGGAAAGGTGAGTTTGGGACCATGAATAGCTGCATAGCTGGCTGCCAGGCGGCTTTAGTGAGATGATCCTCCGGAAATCCCAGTCCACGTCCACTGCCGCGCAAAGATCGATGCTGTAATCATACAATATTCATGATGCCCCAAGGAGTGGGGGTTCTCTGCTCCAACACAACAATGCCAACCAACATCTTCCCCAAAGCCATTAGCACCACAAGTGCTGGATGTTTCTAGTCACTGGACCTATGCATTAGTGGTGGTCTAAATGAGAAACAAATGTTTGTGTTCTTTGTAGATCTTGTGATGCCGACCTGGATTTCGCTACCCAAACCGACCGCTTTTTCTCGCCGGACCAGTTCGTCGGTGCCGATGCTGCGGGAAACCTGAGCAGAGAGTGATGCGTTTAGCAGAGACGTCTTCACAGTTCACATCTCTGGTTGCACCCCGCACCTGGTTTGGTTTTATACGGAGATATCGGGCCTGGTGACCCGCCTGGGAACGCAGCCCAGCAGCCCTCTCAAAGCCATTCGGTGCTTTGGACTTCTGGGGAGACTTTTGGAGTAACTCAAACGGTGATCATACGAAGTCCCTTCCCGGAGGCGTTTGGTGTTGCCAGAGCATCGACGTTTAAAGCCACCAAAGATGTAGTCAGTCTTATTTGAGTGACCAGTTCTGGTTGCATCGACCATGTTACAAAGAGATCCATTTTAAAAAGTTTCACAGCGCTCAGACCACACATGAGTTTGCCTGGAATGGCACTATCTCCAGGATTGAGCCACCAGGGGGAAGATGTCTTGTCTCAAGTGTGGTGTTTCGGTGCCTTGGAAGCAGAAGTATAGTTTAGATTAATTTAGTTTGTCAAGCCTGTAAACCCAGAAATCAGACCTTCAGGACCACTCCGCATCAGTTTGTCTTCATGCGATTGTGTTTCTTCAGTCTGTTGCGATTTGCATCTCCTGCAGTATTAGTGCAAATGAAATGGCTGACCTTTTGCCCTCGGAGAGGCTGCGCCTGCAGCCTCAGCAGATGTAGTATACTGTTTGGTTACCACCGAGTGTTTCCAATCCTCCTGCTCTAGTGGTTGGTCGCCGAGACTTGTCGGGAAACAGCCTCCTCAGAATGCAAGTGGCAATCATGCGTGTTTCAGCTCTGCTTCTTCTTTGAATTCAGCTGTTCCACATAACACTGAGAGTTTTGCGCCAGTTTCACCTTCAGTTCCTGTAGCCTCTGAAGTGACTGCTCCGACAGGAAGCATTTGGACGATCCGACATGGGCTGATTCTATTTCTCTTGCCGGGTCGTGTCGCAGCAGCGCACTCATCCATGCCAATACCAAATTCTAGGATCCAGCTAACTTTGATCGCTGATAAAAAGCTGTTGCTCCGTTGCAAAAAAAAGTGGGTGCCGTTTGCTCCGACCACAGATGGAAGGGCACTGGAACTACATGTGCCAATTCCATCCCATTCCTTGCTTAGAGGACTTGAAACAGTCTGAGCACAATTTTAGGGATGGAGGATGGCTCATGGTGTGAATCCTATGATTGATTACAACATTTGGCATGGTCATGCGTGGTCGATCCTTAGCATGGCCAAGTTAATCTGAGAGTCAAGGGTCCACTAGATGGCTTGCTGACGGCTTGCTGCCAAAGCCCGTTGGAAGTGTGGACAGGGATGGCCACAAAAACAGTCCATTCATCAAAGGGGCGCGTCCACGAGGTTGAAGAAGCCTCCAGGCGGCACGACCCGCGAACGACCCGCGAACGACCCGAGCGGCACTTGAGCAAGCCAGAACCAGCATGCGTCCAGCGCATCATGGTGCGTCCAAAGAGAAAGAAACCACCATGCAAGTGTTGCCACCAGAACCGCAACAACAAGAAGAAGCGAAAGAACCATGAGGTCGCACCACCCCACCCCACCCACCCCACCCCACCCCACCCCACCACCAGAACAACAAACAACCCACATGTCCGATGTTTGAAGCACCTGACCAACTTGCCAACAACCCACATCCCTGACGCTCCCATCGACCCAGCACCTGAGGGAAGTTCGGCACGACGGCGGCGGCCCAGGGGCGTCAGGTGCGTCCGCACCTGGGAGGCGAGCCTTTTCTTCGGATGGGATCAAATACCAACAGAGGTTGAATGACCCTATAATGGACTATACCATAGGTACCCCAGTGGGTCTCACTTGGCCTCTCTTGGTACTTAGGACTCCCACAAGGACTGCTCCTGCTTCGAGTGAAGACCAACATGTTTCGAAGGTGTGCTTCAAAAACACAGCCAGGGTCTGCTTGGGCTGCTTGGCCTGCTGCATCAGTCAGGATGGCTGGGACTACAGTCACTATAAAGCGGGTTAGGGATTCTCATCTGGTTCGGGCATCTGGCGAGTCATTCTCAGTGAGGGATATGGGTATATCCCATTCCCTGTATATAATAACAGTGGATGATGAACAGTAAGTAAAGGCCCTTCTCTGAAATAATGATAATTGTTTACTGACTGTTGCAGGAAATGGCACACCCCCGATATACAATACATCGTCCATTCACACGGGGGTCCTTTCCCAGTACTGTATCACCAGTTGGCAAGCGGTTCAGAAGGACATGGACAACCCACCAAGTGACTTTCTGTTTCACCACCGGTTGTCACCATGAAACATCTGTTGGATCCTATTGGAGGGTCCAGGCACAATATAGAAACGCACAAAAAACTAACTATATGTACATATCTGCCTACTTCAAGTCACTATGGCTATGCCTTGAAGCTGATGTGCTAAGGTACCACCCGTCTCACCGCCGCAAACTGTACGTCCCCACCTTGCGCATCAGCTCGTTCTCCTCCGCCATCCGGCCTTCGTCACCTGAAGATGGACGGCTCGGACACTGCGCCGGTTGGGGAAAAACCAACCTTGGAGCTTGGCCGAAGTACAAAGCAAACAACAATGGAAGGAAAAGGGCAGGTTGTCTGTATGTGATATTCTTCTTCCCCTAAAGACCTTGGAGCTTAACCTTCCCTGGTAGGCTGAGAACACGCTAAGCTTACAGTAATCACGCTGGGCCCACTCTTCACCTATTTTCAACCTACACAAAACCAACTGCAAACGCATAGATTTGGAAGTTGAGAGGGTCCACGCATAGAAATAGAGGAAACCATGCGAGTTATATTTTCCAAACAGTTCCAGTGAAGCACAGTGAAGAGTGGTTGGTCTTCTTCAAAACCTCACCGACCAGGCGCTCAAAAGCTCTCAGCAGCTGGGGGGTCAGCTGCATGCTGAGCACTGAGCGCAGGTCAGTCTTTTAAGGGGGATCGGCGGTGTCTCCCGCCAGCTCTAACCGTGAAGAAGGCCACAGGGGCTCTGACCGTTCGACACCCGATCATCACCTGATCTGCCAAGTTGCCATCATTCAGCCTCCACAGGTGGATACCTGTGAGAGACAGGCACCTAGGGCTTGTCTAGGGGTTGGACCAGGGAAGCTATGCTTCTATGGCTCCCTTGCTACCTGCTACCTACAAAAGTGCATTGTATTGTCACTAGACTCACTAGACGTTGTGCCTTGTCGATCTCAACACACCTGCATGGCCTTGGACCCCCAAAAATGCATCTCCTTGGACATCTTGGACACTGTGGCCAGCTACAATTCGCGCCCAGCCCAGTGTCCCCCAGTTTCAGCTCTTCGAAAACAGGGTCCGAGGTTGGTCTCCAAATCCATCCAAATCCCCAGCTGGTCTGATGTTGACCTCAAGCAAACCATAACAAACCATAACACATCCACAGTGCTTCTGCTTCTCCTTGGCCTCTCCATCTCCCACTCCTCTCCCCACGCCAGGTGGCACCTGCCAGGTGCTTCGCTTGCACCTCACGCGCTGCGCTTGGCAAAGAGCCATGTGCATCGCAGCCAAAGCGGCACCTTTTTCCGTAGGCGTTCCGCAGCGTTCCGAGGGCGTTCCGAACGGACCGGAGAGACGGACCGGAGAGACGGACCGGGTCCAGTCCCAAGCCGTGTGGAACGCACACAAAGCGAAGATCTCTTTGATGCCCTTTCAACAACACTGGAACATCATACAACAACACTGGAAGAAGCCCAGATTCTCCGAACTGCGAAATCTGGACCCCAACCGTTCATGATGTCATGCTTTGGGACATGCCACATCACAGATCATCACACTACAAAAATCTCTGCGACGTCCGGGCTTTTGACGAAGAAGAAAACGCATCGTCGACGAGGCATCGGTCGTCTGCAGCTGAGCAGCATGCCCAGGAAGACCTGCACAAGGTGGGGCACCCGTCCGGGGTGCCGACCCATGAACAGGTCCCTTCATAAGATGAGGTGTCCTACATATGATGTGTACAAAAAAACAAACCAATATAGCAGGTTCCACTGGGATTTTTGTGATGTTTGATGGTGTTCGGGAAAACATGTTCGTTTATATCTGAGGGATGTCAACCTCTCATGGTTTGGTGGAGGAGGTTTTTTACTCACAGCCATACCACTCTGGAGCACTCCAAATCTCCATCGGCGCTGAATCCGACGTAGAAGTTGGGAACGGCGCGTTGGAACGGCACGCAGGTGCACCTGCCCCCAGCAACTGTGAGGATATTGGCTTTTGGAGCCTTACAAAGTGTTTCAGAATCCTAAGGTCTGGTCCTCGAGTCCTCAATATTACCCAAGGTCTCTTCATCTCTTGGGGAGGAGCTAGACCTCTTCCCGATGAAAGAGATAGACTTCGGAACATGATGTCACGAGATAAGGATGCCCAAAGAGTAGTCTCCCAAATTCCCAGAGCAATTGGCCCTTGCAAAGAGCGGTATTGTAAGGTGTCTTTCTTTGCTGTTCCAACGAGAGTGCCTTCGAGTGCCTGTAAGGATGTCTCGCACGGGTGATGCACATCAGTTATCACATGGGTTGTCCCCTCACCCCACCATCAAGCCTTGCTCGCATCGAAGATGTCCAAAT